TATGAGATTTTCATCCTTTAATATCTTTATCTAACAATTCACAATATATTCATATATATCAATTAATATTAATTAATCAAAGAATACTATTTACACAAGTAATGCATGCTTTGAGTCCTAAACTACCCGGGCTTTAGCATTTATAGTAGCTACGCACGGACTCTCGTCACTTCGTGCGTACGTAGCCCCCACAATTAGCAACAATTATTTAATTTTATGGGCTCATTCGACTAATCAGTGATCCCTGGGCCTACCTAACACAGATGTCCCTGAATTAGGGGATTGGTTGATCGGAAAGCTCAGGCAGGAGTAGGACATTCCATACAAATCTTTCTGATCCGCTAGCTGGTGGTCCTCTCCTTAGAGTCAAGTTATCACCTATGAGGAAATTTCCCCCTCACAAGATTAGACAAGAGACTTACCTTGTCTTGCTCCAATTTAATCCACTATAAGGCCTTTTCCACGATTATCCAACTCTATCTGGCTCGAATCTAGCCAAAATAATTTGATACAATCACTAAAAGTTATAGGAATCAATTCTATAAGAAAATACTACATTTTTAATAAAAATCCCGAAATTAATTAAAATTCGTCGTGGGGCCCACGTCTCGGAATCTGGTAAAAGTTATGAATCCGACAACCCATTCAATTACGAGTCCAGCCATATAAGTTTCACTCAAATCCGACTCCGAATCGATACCGAAATCTCAAAAATTCGTTTCTATGAGATTTCTAAAAATTTCCCAAATTTAAATCTCAAAACACTAATTTATGGTGAAAACAATGATATACTTGTATATGTAGACCAAATCCGAGTTAGAATCACTTACCCCAATATTTTTCCCTTGAAAATATGTCAAAAGTCGCCTCTGCTCAAGCTCAAGTTTGTCAAAAAATGGCAAATGGGACGAATGTCCTCTTTTATAAACTGCCCAGGCAGCCTTCGGAATTGGGCCTCGATCGTGGCCCTCGAGCTTGGGACTTGGTCATGGACTCGATCACGCCTCGAGCCTGGGCTTCGGTCATGGCCTCGATCATGGCCTCGAGCTTGGGACTTGGTCATGGCCTCGATCAGGCCTAGAGCCTGGGACATGGTCATGGCCTCGATCAAGTTCGATCTTGGGTCTTGATCCTGGCCCTCGAGCCTTGCCTTCGATCATGGCACTCGAGCTAGACTTTCGATCGTGGCTTCGATACTAAGCCTCGTCCCTGGATTCAACTTAGGCCTCGATCGTAGGCTCGATATCTGTGTTCGATCTGGGGCTCGATCACAGCCCAGAATATACAGCAAAAGGGAAAATTGCAGCAGCTTTTTAAGTCCAACTTTTGATTCGTTAACCATCCGAAACTCACCCGAGGCCCTCAGGACCTCAACCAAATATACCAACAAGTCCTAAAACATCATATGAACTTAGTCGAACCTCTAAATCACATCAAACAACGCTAAAATCATGAATCGTACCCCAATTTAAGCTTAATGAAACTAAGAGTTTTCAACTTCTATGTTCGATGTCGGAACCTATCAAATCAACTCCGATTGACCTCAAATTTTACACACAAGTCATAAATTACATAACGGAGCTATGAAAATTTTCGGAACTGGATTCCGACTCCGGTATCAAAAAGTCAACTCATCGGTGAAACTTCCAAACTTAAATTCTTATTTTTTAGCCATTTCAAGCCTAATTTAACTATGGACTTCCAAATAAAATTTCGAACACGCTGCTAAGTCCAAAATCACCATACGGAGCTGTTGGAGTCATCAAAATTCTATTTCGGGGTCGTTTTCTCAAAATGTTGACCGAAGTCAAACTTAGCACTTTAAGGCCAACTTAAGGAACCAAGTGTTCCGGTTTCACCCCAAATACTTTTAAATCCCGAACCAACCATCCCCGCAAGTCATAAATCATTACAAGCACCTACGAGTATTTTTATTTTAGGGAACGGGGTTCTAAAAGTTAAAATGACCGATCGGGTCATTACAAATGTAGTGCCCGTAATTGTAATATAGTACCCTTTAGCGTAGTAAAATTGATAGTAATAAATTTTAGCTAATGGTAGTTGACTTTGTTCATGGCCATTTAGAGTAGTGTTATTTTAGTGGGAAAATATTGGAAAGTAACATAAGAAATATTAATATAGATAATGTATCAACCTAAGTATCTATTATATGAATAATTACTAAATTATCTTTGTAGTTACTGAAATTAATTATTTAATTATCTGTTAACCCCAAAAATATATAAAAAAAATGATAGTTCAAACACAAACTCTCTCAAATTTTAGTCAACAAATGTAAGAAAATAATATAAAAATAATAATATTTGTCAAACTAAGTATTTTTATGCGAATAACTATTAATTATATCATGCATAGTTATAAAAATTAATTATTTAATTCTATTATACCCAAAAATAACTGAGTAAGAAACAAACATATAAAATAATATACTAACATATAAAATAATAAACTAACATATAAAATAATAAACTAGCATATAAAATAAGAAACAAACATATAAAATAATGTAATAAACTAACATATAAAATAATATAATAAACTAACATATAAAATAATAATATAGAAAATGTATCAACCTAAGCAATAATATAGTGAATATATCGATTAAATATTAATATAAAAAATATTGCAATATGTTTAAAGATGCTAAGCAATCAAAAAGAAATTTTTTTTAATTAATATTGTTCAATTTACAGACATTGTCATGGAGGTTCCCCATGTGCATCCCGGACCTGCATCTCGAGAGCTACTGTTGCTACAGGGCAACCATAGGTCTTCATACATCTGGGATGGGCAGTGTCTGTCCCAGACATTCCGCCTCAGACATTTAGACGATATGTGGGAGTTCATTAGGGTCCACTCACTCCATCCACATATAATTAGATGCCTTCAGGATACGGGTTTCTACAGGATCATAGAGATCGGTCGGTTGCAGTTCGACTGGGCGTTGATCACGCTTATGATAGAGCGGTGGCGACCGGAGACGCATACGTTTCATCTACCCATCGGCGAGGCTACCATCACGCTTGAGGACGTGGAGGTTCTTTTCGGGCTGTCGGTTGATGGATTACCTGTAGCTTACCCGCATGCTCTTAGAGACTATAGGGGAGTGGATTACCTACATATGTTGCAGTGGCTCACTGATTTCCAGCCAGTGGAGCCGACTGTATTGAGTGGGGCCAGTTGATTACAGCTGACGCCCGTCCGGCAGCATCTGGCGGCAATGGATGTGGAGATTACGGATGATTCACTGCCGGAGGATATTGACCGGCATACGAGATTGATGATGATGTTAATGTTTGGTGGTGTACTGTTCCCGAACACTTCGGGAAACCTAGTTAGTTTGAGATTTCTACATCATCTGGAGCAGCTAGATGATTTGCCTGGTTACAACTTGGGTGCAGCTATTCTAGGTTACCTGTATAGGCAGATATGTCGGGCGTGCATGGGCACCCAGAGAGACGTTGCCGAATTTTTACCGATGTTGCAGGTGAAAGCATAGTCAATTATTTTCATGATTATAACATACATAGTAAAAATAATACCTTAAATTTTACGTCCACAATCTATATTAGATTTGGGCCTGGGAGCGGTTCCTGTAGTTCCAACCACCTCTACCACCGATTGCTCCGGATGCACCACCTCCACCGTTTCTCCCTTTAGCTTGGAGGTGGGTTGATAAGCGAGGCTACGGACGCGAGGTCGAGGCTTGACATCATCTCCCCTATTACAAGGATTTGTTGGATTTGCTTGAAGGCGCGCAGGTACATATGTACTTAAGTTTACTTGGCCTGGCTTTATATGTGTTGCGTTTACTCACGATTCTTGTGTTTAATAAATAGTTTGTATGGAATCCATACAACGACACGCTCATAACCTCTGCTAGACTTTGGTAATTTGGTCATAACTTCTTGCAGGAATGTCCAAATGACAAACGGTNGAGAGAGAGAGAGAGAGAGAGATATACTCGTCCAAAGTTAGGTCTTGTGCGTACTCATTCGAAACTTTAGTCTACTATATAATTTCCAACTTGATTTGTCCCAAGGGCTCTCATTATGCCCTATGTTACTTCAAATATACCCCGTACACTTATTATCATATCTAATTAATATCCATCGTATTAATAGTCCTTGTCTTCACCAGTGTTTTAAAAGGCGTTTTCGAGGCGAGCCCCGAGGCGAGCCTTGGGGCGAGGTGTACCAAAAATACCTTGAGGTGATGGTGTGGGGCGAAAGTCTCAAGAGGCGTATGCCCAACAATTCGGGGAGTACGCTCGGGCGTTCGGGGCATACGCCCGGGCGTTTGAGGTGCGTTTTTGTAGTGAGGCGTAAGCCTTAGAGACATTTTCAAATTAAAACAAAATTTATTGCATAAGTCTTTCATATAATACCCAAATTCTCAAAAGTCAGCTTGTAATTACTCAAAATTTTTAAAAAGAAAGTGAAATGTATTAAATTTAAAAGTCAAGATCTTTTTTATCGATTGAAGCCCTAATTTATGGTCTTTCCTAATTCTTTATCTTGTCCGCTACTCTGGTAATATCCCCCAAAATCAAAGAATATTCAAAAAAAAATTACAAATACAAAGAGAACTCCATTCTCCTTCATAGCAACTAGTTCAAAGTTCAAATTGCAGGTTAATCATCCTTTTTGTTCCTCCATATAGATTACTTTATTCTTTTCGACTCAAGTTACTTGTGCTTATAAGTAGCGTATACTATTTTGTTTTGACTAGTTTTTTGTGGGGATATAGTACATCTATATATATATTTTTCACATATTTATAGTTTTCTTCAATTTTTATGCAATTTTATCTATTTATAAATATTTATTATAATTATATTATTTTTTAAAATATTAAAAATTAAATACTCATGAGGCTTACGCCCCGTGCCTCAGGGCTTACGCCTCGCTGAGGCATATGTAAAACGCCTCGCCTTATGCCCACGCCTTTTAAAACACTGGTCTTCAAACTGTCATGACCCAAAATCCACTACCGGTCGTGATAGCGCCTAACACCACCGTCAGGCAAGCCAACAGTGATTGATCGATTTAATTACTCATTCTAGTACTTTAAAATCATACTTTTTATTAATTAAATAGTGTGAAATAGAATTTACACGAACTACAATAATGAACAACCCGTAGGAACCCCCAAAACTCGGTGTCACAAGTGCATGAGTATCGACTAGGAAATATAATAAAATACAATATCTGTCTGAAATACAAATTAGACAAGAGAATATAAATAACTCTGATGGAGAATCTACAGCTTGCGGATCGTAACATGAAATGCAGCTCACGGTAAAGTCTCCACAATAGCCGCGCCTCTGCGCCCAAAAGACCACCAAACATATATGTACCTGCACAAAAAGTGCAGCAAGTGTAGCATGAGTACGTAAATCAACACGCACTCAGTAAGTATCTAGCCTAATCCCAGAGAAGTAGTGATGAGGGGTCGACATTAATACTTACTAGTGGTCCAATAAGACAGATACAATAGAAGTAAACAGATGTGAGTCAGAGAAAGTTAACAAAATAACAAGTATAAATACGTGGTAAAATTCTCCTCTCAACAATAACTCAAACTCTCATCTAGTAGTTACCTCCTCAATCGTAGTATATATAATGGACCTTACCAGATAGGTCGCCACAGTTCAAATCAGGAAAACTCACAGATATACTGCCTTCTTATCAATCATTACGCACGATTTCATAAGAGTAATTTATAGAAATGCCGAGGCGTACGGCCCGATCCATCATAATATTTACGAACCACAGATACATCTATTATATTGCCGAGGCGAACGGCTCACTCCCATGAGAGTGTGATACATAATCATGATGAGATGTATGGCCCGATCCATCATAATGTGCGCACTGCCGAGGGTCGAACGGCATGAACCATAGATGTATCTATCCTGCTGAGGCGAACGACCCGATCCCATTAGAATAAGAAGCTTTGACGGGTCCTTGACCCCACTCATGAATAGACATGTGAGTTATAAATTTTTGGGGAAACCTTTCGATGAGAAGGCATAACGCGGGAGAAATTCGCAAGAGGAGCACAATTATTTCGCGGCTAATCATGAAGCCCGTCGAATTTCTACAATAGCAAGTCTATCACTCTACACAAGTCTAGTCTCAAGTCGCAACGTAAAATAAAGGAATTTAATAGGCAAGAGACAACTCAAATAGCATAGTTATAGCATGGCGGGAATCTAAGTCTACCCGTGCATAACATGAATCTAGCTACATGTGGACTCTCATCACATCGTGCGTACGTAGCCCTCGCAACAAGTAGCATAAAACAAATACATCACCTAAGGGTAGTTTCCCCTCACAGAGTTAGACAGGAGACTTACCTCGCTCCGAAGTTCCATAACCGGCTCCAACGCCACTCAAACACCTCAACCCGTTGCCCGTCTTTTCAAAACTAGTCAAACAACGTGCAAACCAATCAAAATATACCCCAATACGCATAATTTAACAATTTATAATGACTCCCAGCTTCGCTCAAAAGCCAACAAAGTCAGCCCTTGGGCCTACGCGCCCGGATTTCGAAACTTTTTGAAGATAAAATTTACCCATAACACCACGAACTCAAATATATAATTTATTCCTAATTTCATATCCAATTTCGTGGTCAAATTCCAAAAATACCAAATTCTAGGTTTTCTACCAAAAATCCCAAATTCCTACTAATTTCCATGTTTAAATCTATATACAAACCATGTATTTAACTTGTAATAGGTGGTAATCACTTACCTTGTGTTGCTTGATGAAAATCTCCCCTTGAAGCTCTCCAAAATTTCCCCAACCAAGTGAAAATGGAAGAAAATGGGCCGAATTTCGTTCTTAAAAGAACACACTGTCCAACGACCTCTCGCACCTGCGGCCACTTGACCGCTTCTGCAGTTCCGCAAGTGCGGCCACAATACCGCTTCTGCAGTCCCCCTTCAGCCCCCTGCCTTCGCATCTACGGACCAGACTCCGCTTATGTGGAGTCGCACTTGCGACCAAGGATTTTCTTCTGCGGTCTCGCAGGTGCGGCACAAACCTCGCACCTGCGCCTCCAGTCTGCCTCACTCCCTACTACTTCTGCGACCCTTGGGACGTTTCTGCGGTCACGCAAGTGTGGGAATTCCTTCGCACATGCAGCCTATTCCCAGCTCCCTTCTAGCCGCTTCTGCAATTCATTGTCTCGCTTCTGCGGTGAAGCTTCCGTAGAAGCGGTTGCACCAGCAACCATAATCCTCCGACTTTTCCTTAAGTCCAAAATTCGATCCGTTAACCATCCGGAATCCACTAGAGGCCCCTCGGGACCTTGACCAAATAGACCAACGCGTCCCAAAATACAATAAGAACTAAGTCGGAGCCTTATACCACATCAAACAACATCAAAATCATGAATCGCGCCTCGAATTAAACTTATAAATTTTCAAATTTCCAAATTTTATATCTTGTGCCAAAATATATCAAATCATTCCAAAATGCCTTCAAATTTCACACACGAGTCATAAATGACATAAGGAAGCTATTCCAAGGCTCGGAACCCCAAACGGACATCGATAACAACAAAATCCACTTCAAACCAAACTTAAGATATTCTTAAACCTTCAAAATGCCAACCTTCCATAATAATTACCGAAATGATCGCGGGTGATCCAATACCCAACCGAACATACGCCCAAGTCCGAAATCATCATATGAACCTTTTGGAACCTTCAAATCCCAATTCCGAGGTCGTTTACTCAAAAGTCAAACCTTAGCCAATTCTTCTAACTTAAAGCTTCCAAAATTAGAGCTTTCTTTCCAAATAACTCTGAACTTCCCGAAATTCAATTCCGACCACGCGTACAAGTCGTAGCACCTAAAGTGAAGCTACCCAAGGCCTCAAACCACCGAATGACGTGCTAGATCTCAAAACAACCGGTCGGGTCGTTATATTTCCCCCCACTTAAACATACGTTCGTCCTCGAACGTGCTAAGGATTGCTCCGGGGTCATCTAAAATCACTGTTTAACACCTCGTGCGCCTAACCCTGCCACCACAATCCAATTGAACACATTAGCTCGAGTCAGACTGAAAATCCTCCCTTTTGTTTAGCCAATAAACCTTAGGACCAAATTCCAACCTCTGAATTTCTCTACAAATCCTGGTTCTAACATACGAACACCGCACCATTCACGACACACTATACCAAAACATGATCATGCACCAATACTGAAACCACATCAAGCACCACATAAGTCGGTTGCCCATAATAACATCCTCCGACCACAATAGTTGTAATTTCACGAATTTGATGCCCGCAATACATCTCATGGCGCATATAAATCTTGTTCCCACTCTCGCAATACAGCCACGACGAAAGAGACGTGTAAAAACTCATAACCACTTGCCGAATCAATAATTCATGGAGTCCCTTCTCCTGACAAGAACCATTACCTCATTCTGAACTGAATAATGATATTTTCTCTGAAATAGACCTTATATAGGTCTAATTGCACTAATTTCAGGTCCAATAATCTCATCTCACCTAGTACAAACTGCTCAGGCAATAAGCCACCTCAAACATTGACCCAGATCTCATATGACGCCATCAATGCGCCGACAAGCTACAACTCGAATATGACACATAAGGAGGAATGAAATATGAAAAAGAATTATCCAGCCCGCGTAACGAATAAAATGGCCGAACAGATGTTATG